CTTTACGAAGCAAAAGAGGATGCACGAAAGAAGTATCTCAAGGAGCAGCAGATTAAGAAACTAGAGGAGAAGAACAATACCCAGGAAGGTGATGATGCAGCCAGTGATGGGGACGAAGAAGATGATGATGACTTGAGGGTCGATGAAGCCAAGGTTGATGAGAGCAGGCAGATGGACTTTGCAAAGGTTGAAAAACGTGTTCGAACAACTGGTGGTGGTAGCACTGGAACTGTTAGGTATAGACTACAAAACATCATCACATATGTTTGATTGGTTGGATTGTTTTATTTGATGCACTAATGGTGTAACCTTTTTCTTGATTTTTCAGGAATCTGCGTATCAGAGAAGACACAGCGAAGTACTTGCTGAACCTGGATGTTAATTCCGCTCATTATGACCCTAAAACTCGATCCATGCGTGAAGATCCGCTTCCAGATGCAGATCCGAATGATAAATTTTATCTGGTTTGTTGTGAAACATCATTATCATTACCTGGATCTCATAGTATGATAATCTAAGATACGTAATCATATTTTTTCTTGTCATTTATCCAGGGAGATAATCAGTACAGAAACAGTGGACAAGCTCTAGAGTTCAAACAGATGAACATCCACTCATGGGAAGCATTTGACAAGGGACAGGACATGCATATGCAAGCGGCTCCATCCCAAGCTGAGTTGCTCTACAAGAACTTCCAGGTTGCGAAGGACAAGCTGAAGACTCATACAAAGGACACAATCATGGAGAAGTACGGGAATGCTTCTACAGAAGATGAAATTCCAATGGAGCTTTTGCTTGGGCAGAGCGAAAGGCAAGTTGAGTATGACCGAGCAGGGAGGATTATAAAGGGACAGGTATGAGGTTTTAAATGTTTTTACCTCACGGACCAACTTCTCATAGCAATGTGAATGGTTTGTTGTATGTTGTGCTTTTGTTTGGATCCATTTCATTCTTAATACATGTATGTTTTGTACACAGGAGGTTATACTGCCAAAGAGCAAATACGAAGAGGATGTTCTTGCAAACAATCACACGAGTGTTTGGGGATCATGGTGGAAAGACCATCAGTGGGGATATAGATGTTGCCAGCAGACGATTCGCAATAGTTACTGCACAGGCTCTGCTGGTATTGAGGCTGCAGAGGCTTCCCTTGATCTGATGAAGGCTAACATTGCTCGCAAAGAAGCCTGTGAAGGTTTGTGTTGTTGACTCTGTTTGTTATTCTAATTTCTTATATCTTTTTATTGGATTTGTTGGAAAAAAATCTCTTGGGGAATAGTTTATGACACATTTCTGCTGCATATGTTTTTGTAATGCTGCTTGTACGCCTGTCCTAACAAAACAATTAATGGTGTTTTGGGGGAACAGAGAGCCCAAAGAAGGTTGAAGAGAAGAGAATGGCCGCATGGGGAACTGATGTTCCTGAAGATTTGGAATTGAACGAGGAAGCACTTGCTAATGCTCTTAAAAAGGTAAGAAGGCTGCTCCTATTAGTCTCCTGTCAATACGTTTGTATGTCTTGCACACATATCTGATACGCAAATAACGATTGTGCAGGAGGATGAGCGTAAGAGGGAAGAAAAAGATGAGAGAAAACGCAAGTACAATGTCAAACACACCAACGATGTAATGATATGATCTTAGCACTCTAATAGCATTGAATTCTATTCTTAAATTGATCGGTCGCTAATCTCACATTTCACGGACAGGTGACTCCGGAAGAAATGGAAGCTTACAGAATGAAGAGAGTTCACCACGAAGACCCAATGAAAGATTTCCTCTGAAAAAGTCTCCTTCCCCTTTTACCATTTTGGGTGGATCTAGTTATCCACAATAATCATATAGCATTAGATCTCCACCAAACTATGTTCTTGTGCTAAACTCCCATGAATTGAAAGTTATAAACTTATTTCTCCTTCTATTAAAAATTTTCAACTTATTTATTACTCCCTGATCTATAGTTCAAAACTAATTACCCATATGTCATGGTTTTAAATCGATTTAACAGCATATCAAATAATTTTAAACCGGTTAAACCAAACAAAACAAAAAACAATTTTGTCAAAAAGTCTAATTTTCATCCAAAAGAAAAACTATTTTTTCCCGGATTTCACTCCGTCGTTGCCACAACCTATTCCTTAAACATCTCCAATTTTCACAGAACTACCATCACATGCATTAGACAAACGAACACATGTCTTAGTCAATTGCTCTATCGTCTACATAGTAGTTGGATCTGAAATCAAATTTCAAATACCATCAACTTCTTATCAAATTATATAATTATATTCTGGCAAGTAATAAATTTTATTTATTTTTCGATAACAATTAGTTATGATTAAGAAACTATATTTTTATTTGGTTTAACCGGTTTTAAATTATTTGGTTCATACTAAACCAGTGTAAACCATGATATATGGATAATTAAGTTTGCAACTTTCAATTCGGGAAGAAATATATTTGCAACTTTCAATTCATGGGAATCTGGAATTTTGATGGGGGTTTGATGCTATATGATAATTATCATGGAGAAATAGATAGTCCACCCTACCATTTTAATCTGAAGAATTCATATGACGTTTTGTGTAATGAGGTAGTCTTGGTTTACTCACAACACCTTGTAGTAGTATTAAACTGATGTGTTTGTTACTGAAGCTTTGTGAAAGTTGGCTATTGCTGGTCGCATCCTAGTTTTTTTCATTGATTTGAAAATCTAGAAACATCACATGAACTTATGAGCTCAGTGTCCCACAGTGTCTCTTGCTGGCTGCTTTTGACTCGAGTATGTTGGTTACATAATGACCCTAATATAGCATATGCTTAATAACAAATACACACTAAAAATAAAGACTAGCTGATTTAATGAGCCTAACAAAACATATATTTAGTAATTGCGCCTAAAGAATGCAACCCAAATTACAAGAAAATAGTTTAGGAGTTCATTTGTCATTCGTCACTTTGCAATTCTAAAACCCTAAGCTTCACTGACATGATCCTATCGTGAGCCTTCCTAAACCCTAACATCGCTTGTGATTTAGCGCTTAGCTAAGGTGACCTTCTCTATAAAGATGACAATGCAATAATTGTGCAGTTTGTAACAAAAGCAGAAAAATACACTGGATATAATGAAAACATCATAGTGATGATTCATTTCAAAGCTTAGCTAAGATGATTCTATGAAGATTAGCAGGAAAAAAAAACACTAACTCAACTTCTAATATATCAAATTTTACTAAATATTGATTTAATTTTAGAGTTATCAATTTTATAAAAAAATAAACTAAAATTCTAACTCAGGTACTAAACATGTTAATGATTTGATGCGACAAAGCTAATCAAATTGTTGTTGCTTAACATGATGACGTTGCAAAGTTTTTGAAATGGTCCGACTTGTATCTGATGTACTTGTTCAAAACTTTTGAATTTTATAAAAACATCGTTAAATGCCTTCTGAAATGTTATTTTAGCAATGATTTGATGTTTCAATCAAAAGTATAGTGATGATGTTTTGTTTAAGTTTGTGATGAATCATTAAACTATTTTCTCACTTGCATAAAGATGGTAATGCAATTGTTGTGTAGTTTTTAACAAAAGCAGAGAAAAAAATACACTCTTAAGATAATTAACACTAAATGTTTAAAAGATTGGAAAATCTGATGGCTGCTCATATTAATAGTAATTTAGTGCCTACTTGCAGACAAGCTGGAGCATTATGGCTTTAATCAATGATTTTAATTAATCATCATAATCTTTTATTTAATTGTCTTTTTCACCTTTTGTTGCATTATTTGTTAATATTTTTGGCAATGTTTCAACCTATGTGAATTTGTAATTGATTGTTATGTAATTATTTTGATCATAAAGAAACACCAAGAAAAAGATTACAACATAAAAAAAAATAGTATTTTCTTGTAATTAATAGCTCCTTAAATCTGTATTTGTATATGATTAGTTAACAAGTGAAATGGTCTATAATAAAATATGGGTTGGCACTTCGGTTATTTTATCTGTTTGGATTTGGTTTGATTTGGTTAATTTGGTTCTAAAATTTATCGAACAAAGTAAACCATAATTAGTTTGGATCGGTTTCGGTTCGGTTCATATTCAATTCGGTTTGATGTGTGTTTTGATTCAGTTTACTCGGATTCCTTGGTTTAATATTTTAAGAGAAATCATAAAAGACACGGCCATGAAATCATCATATTTGTGTCTATGAAAAAATAAACTATGTAAATTAAATCCAATATTAAGTTGAAATAAAAACTTTAAACACACACAAAATTTTGTAAAAATCATAATCAAATCAAATCTAACTAAAATAAATGAAAAATAAAAATAAACTATGTAAATTAGATCTAATATAAAACTGAAACAAAAAAAATATTTAAAATCACAAAAAATATAAGAACACAATCAAATCAAAGTAATTAAAGTAAATAGAAAATTAAAAAAAAATTCAACATTGTTTATAAAGTTGCTAGTAAATTTAGTGTTAGCATTTTAATATATTGTGAATTGCTAATATGTTAAATTTAAATAATAACAAAAACATATTGATTTTCGGTTCGGTTTACTTTGGTTTGCTTCGGATTCGGAAAATCTTAAACTGAACTATTTAATAACGGATTTTGGTTTGGTATGGATCGATTTTGGTTTGACTGGTTCGGATTGACTTGATTTGGTTTGTTTTTTTGCTCACCCCTAATAACCGGTAGCCAAATTACTAATGGTCTTACACTAATGGGTTACAGCCCAATAAAGAAAATATAAATAGTAAAATAAAATCAAACCCCACAAAAAGCATCAACCCCCACTCTCTCAGTCTCTTTCTCTCTCTACGATTCTAAGTTTAAACCTTTTACAAGGTCACTGTACTTGTCTAAAGTTCCCAACTTTTTCATTTCTTTTCAGTAAATCGAAGAACCCCATTGTGGAAGGAGGATCTGCAGTCACTGAGCATCACTAGGAAGAAAGAAAGGAGACGCCTTTTGGGGGTCTTCATGAGAAAGCAAACGGCGGAGTCGGGTTCGGATTTGGGTCAGGCCATCCAACTCGTTTACATAGATGAGAATGGGAAGTTGAAGACGGACCCAGAAGCCATCGGCGCTCTTCAGAAGCTTAAGGGTCCTGTCGCCGTTGTCTCTCTCTTCGGAAGAGCTCAACATGGCAAGAGCTTCATCTGGAATCAGGTCTTCTTCTTACTTTGATTGAGGGTTTAGGGTTTTAGTAAGAGACGTTTGGTTCTTTTTAGTGGAGATCAATTTGCATTTGTAGAGAAAAATGCAAAATGAATGTTATCTACTTTGATTCTGTTTCTTCTGGAGACTGTAATGACTGATTTTGAATGTTGATGTGAAGCTTGTTAGCACGAGCATTGGATTTGAAGTTCAAACTCTTCACAGACCATGCACTGGAGATATATGGATGTGGATTGAGCCTGTGAAGAGGGTTTCAGAAGATGGCACTGAATATAGTTTAGTCTTACTCGATGTAGAAGGGGCTGACTCAAATTGTGTAATGGTTAGTCTTCTTTTTATCTCATCAAAGATTCAACAAGTCTCTTAAAGATGATTTTTTTTTTCTTTTTTGTTAGGGATAATCAGTTTGATTATCTGTTGAATTTATTTGTATGTTAGGCTACACGAAGCAGTCAGATATTCGCCTTGTCTATCCTCTTATCAAGCGTGTTTATCTATGGTCCGGTAAGTGCCTATGACTGGTTTTTCTTTCTGAAGGAAGTTTCTTCTAAACACAACACTTAATGCTATGTAATTACAAATATTCTGCTTCATGTTTCAGACACTTGGTGTAGATGACATTGCACCTGATCTCTCTCGTCTACTTGAGATTAGCAAACACGATCACGTTGGAGAAGCCAATGACAATACATTTTCCGGGATTGGGCAGTTCTCTCCCATGTTTGTACAACTTATGACGGTGATAATTCCCTCATAAAAATCCATTTATTATTTAGGGGATGGAATCAGCTAGTCTCTGATGTTTTGTCATCTGCTTTTAACTTCTTCATTATCAGGACATTAACACAGAAACAATGGAAGGTGGAGAAGATGTAGCTCAGAATAACAGAGTGGGTTGATCCTTTCCCTAGTTTTCTTAATCAAGCTTCAGTCGTTTATTTTTTCTCTTCTGTTGTCTGATCAAATTTGTGTACTCTTTTTTGAACAGGTTGTAGCGCTACGACCCCAGCGTCTCTACGGTGTAAATGCCTTAGTGAAGTATGTCTCTGAGAGAGTAAGGCCTAAGAAAAGAGGTGATAGTACCATCGTCACAGGGCCGCCTCTTGCTGGTTTCACAAAGTTGTTTTCAGAAAATGTTAACAACAGTGTCGTGCCTAAAATCTCTTCTTTATGGCTGGTAATTATTAGTCAATCCTGGAAATTCTTAGTGTTCTCATCAAATACTTGTGCTTATTATGATGCATCATCTGTATTTTCTTGCAGTCTGTAGAGGAATTAGAAGGTCGAAGGGCTCGTGATACGGCAACTGAAGTATACATGTCGTCTTTGGAGCGTGCAGAGACTCCCGAAGAAGAAGTAAGTTTTGATTCATGTAACACTCAAAAATCACTTATAATAACTAGTAAGATAAACTGTTAACATAATGATCTGCAGTCGATGCTAATAGAAGCACACAACAAGGCGGTCATCAAAGCCTTAACCGCGTTTTGTGAATCTTCCATTGGAAACAATGAAGTGAAACAGAAATACAAAAGAGAACTCTGGAGTTTCTTTGCCAAGGCATTTGAGGTCAGATCCCTCTCTCTCTCTCTCTCTCTCTCTCTCTCTCTCTCTCTCTCTCTCTCTCTCTTGATACTCTCTCTCTCTCTTGATACTGTTTTGCCAACAAGTCAGCTAAATAATGTTTTTATTATTTCAGGATCACAAGAGAGTGGCAGATATGGAGGCGTATTCGAGATGTTGTAATGCCATAGAAGATATGGGCAAGAAACTATGGGCATTGCCTTGTTCTCGTGATGCTAATAGCAGCGATATGATCAAGGTTCTCTCTTCTTCCTTTTTTCCGTCTAAACACTGAATTTCCCATCACTATATAGACATGATAAAGCCTGTAGCATAGTAACTCTTAGCCATTGAAGCAAGTCTTCGTTTTCATTATAAACATTGATGTTATATATATGAAACAGGCTCTTGAAACGGCTGTTGCAGAGTATGAAGTATCTATCAACGGTCCTATGAAGTGGCAGACACTTTCTTCGTTTTTTAAAAAGAGGTTCTCTCGTTATGTTTATATACATTGCTACTTTATATATTGAGTCTTTTCATGCGATATTAACCTTTCTCAGTTGTTATTTACCAGTATACAGGACATTCTCGTTCATCGCAGAGGGGATCAAATGGATGAACTTCTTTCTGAGAACTCCAAACTCAAGCTGCAACACAGTTCCATGGAAAGCATGATGGATATACTCAAGAAACAGCTTGAAGGAGGAGAGAAAATGAGGAAGGAATATCAGAAGCGCTACGAGGACGCCATTAATGACATGAATAAGCTCTCAGATCAGTTCAAACACCGGATTCATGACCTGGAAAGTAAGTGTAAGTCGATTCACGACGAACACTCAAACCTCATGGAGGTGCTTGGGTCTACAAGACTTGAAGCTGCTGAGTGGAAACGTAAGTACGAAGGGACGTTGGGTGAGAATGGAGCGAGCAATAGTCAGGTAGTAGGGGCAGATGCGTCTATCAAGAGATGCAGTAAGTCCATTGATTGGAAAATTAAATACGAGAACATGATAAGTGAGCAAAAGGCTGTTTCAGAGAAGATAACAGCAATGGAAGAGAGGTTGAAGCAAGCTTCAGCCACAGAAGATGGCATGAGAGCTGAACTCTCCCGTGTTTTGGATGAAAAGGTTTGGCCTTCTTTGAATCAGTATGAACTTATCATATGATGAATTATGTAATCAAACGGAGTAGATTAACTATTTGTCCTGTTTCATAGTAAAACTGACAAAGTTGTGACTCTGTTTTTTTGGTTAATGATAGGAGAAGGTAATCACTGAGAAAGATGCGAAGCTTGCAACTTTGGAGCAGCTACTGTCCTCTACCCGTTCTGAATTAAAGGTGAGCTTCTTTGAAAGAGTGGAGTCCCTTTCCTAATCCTTAACGAGCACCTAAGAAGCAGTTTCTGTGAGCTGTGAATATGTGTGCTGTAACACGTTTTTGATTCTTTGTTTATTTTGCAGAAAAGTGAGTTGAAGGTGAAAGAATGTTCTTTGGAAGCAAAAGACTTGAAGCTTCGAATCTCTGATCTGAATGAGAAGTGTGAATCGGCGAAGTCAGCAGCTGAAACTGAGGCGTATGCGTTAAAACAGGAGAGAGATTATTTAGACAAGAAGCATCTTTCACATATGGAGGAACTTGGAAAACTCTGTCTTCGGCTAGAAGGTGCGGAACGCGAGGCTTCATCGGCTAAGGAACTTGTAGATTCATTGAGAATGGAAGCTGGAGCAGCACGGAATAACGAGAAAAGTCTCCAGGCGTCACTTGTGGAGAAGTGCATTGAGATTGACCGAGCTAAGAACCGTATAGGAGAGCTTGAGAAAGTCTGCTTGAAGCTCGATGATGAGGAAAGTGAAGCTTCAGCATCTAAGGAACTTGTGGATTCGATGAAAAGGGAAGCGGAAGCCTTACGGATGAATGTGAACGAGCTCCAGACATTGTTGCAGGACAAATGCATTGAAATAGATCAAGCTAAGTGCCGCATAGAAGAACTCGAAAAGATCTGCTTGAAGCTAAAAGATGCGGAAGACGAGGCTGCAACAGCTAGAGAGCTTGTGAGTTCGATGAAAACAGAAGTGGAATCAGCTCGATGCAACGAAGACAAACTACATGCGTTGTTGCAGGAGAAAAGCATCGAGATTGACAGAGCTAATGGCATGATTGTAAACCTTGAGAGACAGAAGATAGCGCTGTCTAAAACGCTGGAGACAAGAGCGAAACAAAACGAAGAAGCGGTTGCTGAATGGCACAGAATCTTCAACGCAGAGAAGGAAAAGAACATGCGGGTGAGTACGATGCAGCGAGTGGACTCTTTCATGGTTTCAGATGAAGCAACACCACTCCAAGGCGTGAAGCGTTTGAAGGTAGAAGCTAGTGTAACCTCTTCGGGTTCATTTTTCGCGGGAGAGACGGAAGAAGAAGATGCGGTTTCACAAGAGAGCGGGAGAGCTATGAGTGCAATGACACCGAGAAGATGCACTAGTAGTACTGAAGGTGGAGGAGCATCTTCTTCCACAGGCATGGATCACTCGAAATACACAATGAAGAAGCTGAGAGATGAGATAATGAAACACGGGTTTGGAGCTGAGTTGGTTGGGTTGAAGAATGCAAGAAAGAGTGTGTTGGTTGAGCTCTACGAGCGTTGCGTTTTGCGAAAGTGAGAGATACAGAAAAAAAAAAAAAAAAAACTCTGCTCTTGGTTTTTGCAATGGGCCGGACTCTTATATGGGCTGGCTTTGAAAAACACTTTTTGGACCTTATGAAAACAATGTGTAGTTGATCTATGTAGCAATAGATTTCTTAAAATGTTATTTTAGTAATAATTCTGTTTTATTTGAGTATTGTTTCTAATTTTTAAAGTATTTTTTACTCATCACATAATATTGCTGATACAGTTACTTTAACAAAAACAAAAAAAATATATATGTAGTCTTAATAAATAGATACATAGACTTAAAAAACAAAATTTAAAAGCTTGTTTCCTTGTGATTGATCCATATTGATTGTAAATCTCTGATCCAAGCTTTAGTGAAAGTACTATTCAGATGAAAAAGAAAAATTTAGAGAAATGTATTCTATAAGCTAGAAAACAGAGTAATTTATTAAAGTTATTCCCCGACAAACGTTGAAAATACCATTCGATCATTTTCCGATGATCACGGGACAACAAGAGTAGTGATAGTTTCGATTTCACACTAAGCAATCGTTGAGACAAAGAAAAAAAAGCTTGATGACACATTGTCGCATGCCTCTAAAATATCTTATTTTAACAGAAAGCTTAATATTCCCTTATTTCCAAATTGGACCAACACTCATTCTTCGTCATTGATTTTTCTCTTTAATGTCTACTTAGTGAACTATCACATCTATCAGTTTTCTTTTGCTTTTACCAAACGCTAACATGTTATTCAGTGATAAATCATGTTTAACTAACAATTTTAGCAAGTTTGGTAGTAAAAGTTGTGATAAATCACAGAAGGTGACATTTTAGAGCAATATAGATATACTGTATATGCTTTGACATTATTTTCTAGACTTTGCTGTCACAAATAACGCTAATTCCAACCTTCAATTTCAACTAACCCAACTACCAAAATAGTGAAGAGAAAGGTCAAAAAGCATGTATAAATAAATACTAATGTTGTTTCTAAGTGTTCTTTTCTTTTTTTTGACCAATAAACATTACATATTCATTCGATTTATGCAAATAAAGAACTACTCGCCGCGAATGACTGAATGTCCCTCCTCAATCCTCGCATGTTTCGTCGGTCCTTTAACTACTTTGCTTATTCTATTTATACACAAACTCACTAACACACCAAACACACATATCTCAACAACTGAAATCTCTCTCAGTCTCTCCTCTTTTTTTCTCTCTTCTCTGATGGCTTCATTTGCTGTAAAGACAACTTTTTGTTTCCTTGTTGCTGTTTTTTGCTTCATTGGAAACAATGTTGAAGGTAGAGAAGGTAAGCTCTTCTTTAGCAAGTTCACTCACTTAGATCACCCTAATAACAAAGAAGTATCTCTAGCCCCAGCTCCCGCTCCGGGCCCAGCACAAGCCAATGGAAGACTCGGTGGCGGGCCTTTCGGGCCAGGTTCCGGTATGATTCCTCAAACCAAAGAGTCATGGCCAGTTTCAACAACGACCACAGACCAAGAGTTCGAGAAATTGATGGCTACATTTGACCAAGAAAAGAGCAACAACCAATTACCTGAGGAGTTTGAAGAGGAAGAAGAGTCCCAAGAAGATCTTAGTGAGCAAAAGGACAAATACAACAATAATAATGAATACAGTTACACTACCAATAATTATAATGGTAATAGGAGAGGTTACGGTAATGAAGAAGAGAGACAAGGTATGAGTGATACAAGGTTCATGGAGAACGGTAAGTACTTCTACGACACAAGAGGTAGGAGTTCCGAATATACTCCTAGTCGCAGGTACGAGAGTGCTCGAGGAAATGATCATCCCAACGAGTTTGAAACTATGGAGGAATACTACAAGAGCTTGGAAGGTAGTAAAGAGGAGTTTGAGCCTTGAAAAGAAAATAAACTTTTTATTTGAGATACCAAAGAAGTTTTTGAGTAAGTGTGAAATCTCAATTTACTTTTCTTTTATGAGATGTGAAACCTACCAATCACTTTAAAGTTATACAATATCAAAAGTTGTGAGTTATGTTTAGTATATTTATTTATTTTCGGTACCCGTCAATATCCTTAATCCAAAAAACTGCACGAATTTGTGAATTGAAGTTACTTCACTGACACTAGATAAATTTTCTGAAATTTTAAACAATTAAAAAAACATGAAGAAGCAGAGAGACATGCACAAAGGTTCAATTCATTTTAATTTAACTGGTACAGTCACCGGTTCATGCTCGAGTCATCTGAATCAAGACTTTAATTTAGCTCCTCACCCGCAATCTCATCATGATGATACTCACCTCCCACGCAAAACATGTTCAAATCGAACTTTATTATAGTTGTCTCATCAATGACAATACGTAGTTATACATTTACGATCGATGTATTTTTGTCTTTCATCTCTGTATGATCAATGTTATAATATGAACGACTATAGTCCACAATTGGAGTATTAGACATGTTTATCCCGTACATGCATGTATGTGTCACATATATTAGAATGTTAATAGACACCTCTTAATGTATCTGTCGATCACATACACATGCCTCCTATGAAAACTAATTTATTTCTTGTCCAAAAAAGAACAAACAGAGAGGACATATTAGAGGTTTTTTTTTGTAGACAATAAAGAATATGACCAAATTGTTTTCTAATCTCCTTTTGTAACTGTATGCAAACTTATATTCTCGTCGACAGATGAACAAAAACATAACACGTTTCAAGGTGAGAGATGAATGATTCGAGAGTGCAAATGCACCTAATATACATGATCATTATTCATGAACAAAACACGTTTCATAATGAGATGAACATTTCAAGAGTTAGATATCATTGTTTTAGCAAAATAATGATATAAATATATAATATATACCCACTTTTTCTAACATCATCATATTTTTTTAGTTAAGCGTGAAACTACAACATGATATTTACAACTTACTTTCTCTCCTTCTCAATGTATTAACTATCATCAAAATCCATCGTCAAATTAATTGGTAGATGGTACGCAGTCCGAATCAACTACTAACAATCTAACGGAAATAAATACACTGAAAAGAAAATATATAAATAGAAATGGTGAAAATAGCACAATCCGAAGCCACATATAGTATTACAAGATCATACATATTATTGGTAAAAATCCACTAGAAAGAAAATCTTAAAATATAAACGAAAAATACACAGACGATTCTTGATTAACTTCCGTGGAAATCTGTAAAGCAATAAAATCTTTGAAACAAATTTAAAAAACAATCCCTCCATCCACATTGACCACCAAAACGTTACACCAATATGAAGGTCAACCCTCCTTCACCGTTCAAGTCAAGAGATCATTCACCCATCCAAGATCAAGATCAGGGTCACCACAAGAACCATCCTCGAAGCTAGTTTTGTCCCTAACCGCAGCCACAGTCGCGAAATCATTCCTTTGTCTCTGGCGAGGAGTGAAATCTCCGGCGAACAAGTTAGCCCTAGGCGAGTTGGTTAGGTAACTTGGTGTGGAAGGCGAGAGCGAGCTGGTCAGGTAACTTGGAGCGGAAGGTGAGAGCGCAAACTGTAAAGGACTACTCTGTTGTTGTTGCTGGATATGGAGACGCTGTTTACTCAAACCGCAGGATGAAGCAAACGCTGCAGAAACAGGCGTGGTAACAGGCGTAGAGGAAGAACTAGCATGTAATGCTTCCGCTAGGTTTATAGAATCCAACGAGTTCACAAGCTCGCTTAAAACATCATTATAGTTAACAGACCCAGCTGCTGCTGCAGCAGAAACAGCTTCTGAAACAGCAGAAGCGGCGCGATTCCTCAGACGCGAAAAGGCAGCCGCCTTGTGAGCAGGAGACAAAGGTGGAGACAAGGACGGAGATCTAGAAAGATGAGACAAATTACCCAAAAGAGTGCTCGTTGGAGAGCTGCTACAAAACATGCAACAAGGCTTCTTTGCCACCGGAGAACCCGAGCCGCCGCCGGAGACATTTTCCGGCGGAAGAACCCTAAGCTGACGTGGCGAATGAGCAAAGAAACAGACTTTTCTCTTACAGTGTTTACCGTCTTTACAAGCTTCAGTACGGTAACGGATAGGATGGAGCCAACACTCGAAGACACCATGAGCAAACTCACAGTCGTCTCCACGGCTACAATCACCATCACGACGGAACTCAGGACAAACCTCAGCTGAGTATTGAAACCGACGAGGATCACGACGGCGAGCTTTCTCTCCGGGATGAGCGAAAGGACAGTCTGTCCAGTCGTGGCTTCGGCTACGTGTGCAACGTCGGATCTTGAACTCGAACATACGGAAATGGTCGCTGGCGTAAGGATCATCTGTGTCGGAGTCATAACAATACTCTTTAGTCTCCTTGTTGTTGTTGTTGTTGGTGTCCTCGTTGAAGCTGTCTTCTTCATGTTCAGATGTGGCGATCTTGGTGCTGATCTTGTTGTTCCAGTTGTTTTTACGCGGCGAAGAACGAGGGGAAGACTCAGCTGGGAAAGATTTGGAAGATAAGAGACTTTTTCGCGGTGGAATCTCCACCGTTGGTCTCATCACAACGTCCATGATTAATAATAATAAGTCTTGTGTGTTTTTCTACCTTCTTAGTTTGTGTGCGTTTTAGTTTTGAGAGATGTGTGCAAGATGAGAAGAGATGATATTGCATGTGGTCTATATATATGGGAGTTTGAGTATAGATACAGACATGAGAATAAGTTAAAAAAAATACATTATATAAGTATTGTTGTAAGAAGACAAAAGTTGAAGGGAGAAAGTGTGAGAGGGGTATGGGGGAGAAGAGTCGTGGCAAGAAAAGAGAAGAGGTTTCATGCAAAGAAGCAGGAGCTGCCTTTCTCTCCTTGCTTCTGACCTAACACATGCATGTGACTATGTGTATCATCATCATACTCATCTCTCCTCTCTCCCTTATCAATATCTATTAACTATGTTAATTTATTTTTCTGTCAATTACGCATTAGTAGGAAAACAACTAACTTCATTACATACTTATTAACTTCATTGTAAAATAAGGAGGATGTTAATTTCTTAAGAAGATATCATCATAAGTCAGCTGGATGTATATAACACTATTAAAATTAAAGAATAGTATATTTTTAAGTTTACTTCGTCCAAGAACTGTCTCTAAGACATGTTCTTACCTTAAAATTCATGTTACACATTGCATGGTTGATTAATGGTAATAAAAATACGTGATTGATAAATCATACGAACCTAAAAATGAGCTAGTCTGATTAATGTACATGATGACATAAAGAAATCGCCTAATAATTTTTATTTAGTTTTATAAAAATACAACTTTAGAGGGTAGATGTACATCGAATCTAACAAGACTTTGCAACACAGAAAGGATACGACAAGATTATATAAAAGTCCAAATACAAAAGATGTATCAGAAAATACGTATTTCGATTTCGTACGCCACTTATCAGCTGATTATACAATAAAAAAAGAACTTTATATTTCTCAAAATTCTATAGTATATTTCTCAAAAAGAGAGGCCGAGTGCATGTGTATGTACAAGTGTCACGTTTTGGATTGGTTGCGTGGCCCTCATGGCCTCACCTCACAAACTAATAATTTTGATGAAAGTTTATAAATTTCACGTCTAAAGTTAAAGAACATATAAGCCAAGTCCAAAAATGAGTATAGAATGACGATAAAAATGATGAAGCGGTAATTTACAATAAAGTACAAACGACAAATATTGCCCAATAAAAACAACTTAGTTACAAATTAATAGTTAAAAAACAATAACAATAATAAATAACAATATTGTTTTTGGGTAAGTTCAATGTTTTGGACTGGTATTTAATCATGTACTTCTCTCTATTGTCTAGTTTGGAGGTATTGTCCATGTCCGTACGTAAGTCATTGTTCTGCAAAATCATGCAAAATCCAGAGCTTCTCAATTCAGTGTTTTTTTTTTCCCTAATATATTTTGATTAGGCCATTTTGGCCATGATAGACAAGTGTAGATACAATCATTCTAATATAAATTCAGCCGAAACCTAATCATACAAAAGATAGATTAAAAACAACGTGTTCACTAATGAATAACTCTAAGCATGGAAATATTAGCCACGGGTACTATTCGATGGGTCTCGACGTTTCTGGAGTGAAAGAAACAGAACCGTCGCCGGAGACCTGCCGTAACAGAAACTTCAGCAACTTCCTTCGACCAGTTGAATCTACTTGACCATTCCTTCTATCCCCATTCGCCTTAATTAGTGGAGTGTAGTCGTCCTTAGTGGCCTGATGAATGTCTGTTTGATCAACAAAAAATATATCCAACTGCAGAACAGATTTAGGTTATTACAAAACACTGGAAATGATATAAATGTTTAAGTATTTGATTGAATATGTCCCAATTGGCTAATGCCTTACATATATCATGAGGATTACAATAGCTAAACCAAACTCATATACAATAAATCATGCATATATTAGATGATCGCCCACATTAGCCGTGGATACATGACAAATCGTATGTAAATAAGAAAAGCGCCAGCCAGAACTGCCGAGATGGAGGTGACGAAGCCGCCTACGAAGATGAACATGCCGAGGTGAACCGCTATAATACCTAAGGTGATGGCAGCCATGTCCGCATGTGCACGCAATCTCGTGTGCGAGGGCACCTCCTTCGAGATCAAATAAGCAATAACGTATAGCATCACAGCAATTAAAAATCCTTGAAAGATGTTACTTTCCTGAAGTTGAAGGGATGCTGACTGTGACTTCCACAAAGTTTATATCACAAGTACAAATTTTACAAAATTTACAAATAAAATAATATATGATATACCAATTTGAGTAATTATATGCTAAAATACCTAAATTTAACATAAAATTGGTTTGGCTTGAATATTTGGATGATTAATCAATAGATATTTTAATTATTTTTGGTGTTTTTAGTATAGGTTAACTATTTTACATATTTATTTTTAACTATTTGTATATATTTTCAAATACTTTGCAGGACTTCAAAATAACTTATCAAATTTAGATAGGGTATATTCCTAATATTTTCAAATATATAAATCTGATTTAATATATTCGGATATCCGAAATATTTTGGATCGGGTTTCCGATTAGAAGATATCAAAATTTTAAATCCATTTGAATATTCAACAAATTTTGAATTATGTTTGGACTTTTAGGCATCGGATTTTGTTCCAGTTCAGATTTTTTTCCCAGTCCTTATAACAAGTAAGAACATATATATGCATGCATCTTTTATACAATACCCATCTACTAAACAGTAAACTCCAATGTCTCCATGCCTTAAAACTCTACCAACATCTTTTATACAATACCCATCTACTAACAACGACATCGCTAAGCGATCGCGCTGCGAGAGAAAAATTGAAAGAAAGTCGTGAACCTATCTAAAATTTTTAACTGGCTTGCTGTTTTGTTACATAAAACTAGGTGATTTTCCCGTGCTCATGCACGGGTATAAATAATTATAAAATAAATATACTATAAAATTTATTGCTATTTATTTTAATTTTAAATTAATTTATAATTTATATGCATAATTTATAGTAATAATATTATAGTACTTTAGCAGATGATTTTAGATATGTTATATCTAACTGATTTTGTTATTTTTACAGTCGCTTTAGTTATCATATGAATTTATTGGACTGTATCTATTTTTCTAAATTCAACTAAAATGTTTTTTATTCTGAAAATATTAAATTTGGATTAATTTTCTTATTTGTATTTAGGTTAGTTGTTGTGTTATATACGTAAATATATTTTAGGAAGATTATGTATAACTTAGTATATATTGTTTTTAGAATGAAATAAAAATAAACTAAAGTGTATAATTCTAAATTACATAAATTAAAATAACGAAAATATTCTGAACTCTCTGCATGTATATAAATTTTACAAAATAACTGATTGTAACAGTTGGTTAATATTTTATTTTCATTTGTTAATATGTTTTGAGTCACCCTATAATTTATATTTATAAAATAAATTATTATTATTATAAAACTATATATCTTTATTGTAGTTGAATTTATGATTTTAAATATAAGTTGAATTAGGTGATTTTTCCGTGTTCATGCACAAATATAAAACCAACAACATAAATAAATCAAACTAATTGATTACAAATTTGTTTTATAATTTATATGTAGATCTTGTATAAATAATATCATGTTGTTTTAATCTGACATGTGATTTGAGATATATAGCATCTAATCGATTTAATTATTATTTGGATATATTATATTGCATTTTTTTGGTTGATATTACTGTAATTATTCTTATATATAAAAAATGTAATTATAAATACATCTATTTTTATTTCAACTAAACCAAATAAGATCAGTTTTATTTAATGTGGAAGTTACGTTCTTTATCTAGGACATGTAGATATATTTTCAGTTTTTGTATATTTGATGTTGCTTTTAACAAAACCAATAAAAATTAACTTGATGATTAATATGAAAACATAAAAGAACATGACCGATATATTTTTAAAAATTATTTATATTTTGATGTATAAATGATAAATTAAAAACTATATTAATAATTTTAAACATAAGAATTCAGATTAGTTTATGAATTCAGATTATAAAAGAGACACTGGTTGTTAAAATTATTTAAAACTTAAAATCAACTAAAGATTAAGAACAAAGAAGTAAAGTAAATATCTATAGTTCGCTAAAAATATATTGTCTTATAATATTTAAAATATTTCTGTAATTATTTTATTAAATTATTTTATTAAGATAGAATTATAAAAAAAATAGTTACATTTCCTAATAATGTTATCTTGCTTAAAATTATTTTTAAAGTATGTTGTTTAGTATTTTAAATAAATATCAAATTTTTGTAGAGACTATTTATATAAGAAAAATATTAATTTACTTTTTTTTAATTTTTAAAAATAAATACTCAAACATTTGTTTTATATTTAATTTTTTGAAATCATTTATATAATAAAATATAAATATACTTTAGATAATTTGAGATAATTTTAATTTATGTAGTCTAATAAAAAATACAAAGAAATTTGCAATCAAATTTATGTTAACAAATTATTATGCAAAACATATGTAAAACACTTAGTAATATTAGTTTTAAAATACTTTTAGTTCATAAAGAAACTTCAATTTATGTTATGTTATCTAAGTTAGTTTTGATCATCTGAAAATATAGCTTGATGTAAAAAAAATTTTTATTATTACTTTTAAAATATATATTATGTTATTTAAGATTACGTATTAAAAGGAATATATATTTCTAATATTAAGATGTTTATTGTGAACTTTCCTTTTTTTATGAAATCAAATTATATATGTGATATATTTTCGTTTTAAAATTTTAATTTTTTTCCTTTAATAAAACTTTTATTGTTAAGTTTCCTTTTTTTTATGAAATCAACTTATTTATTATACATATTTCGTTTTTAAAATTTAGAGTTCATTAGTTAATGTTTACTTTTATTATATATATTATTTGGAAAGAAAATAAAGAAAAGATAAGATAAACTGAAATAAATAAAATTTTAATAATAATGGAAATTATATATAGAATATTTTTAGTTCATTAAGGGTATCTATGTAATCAACCATTGTGAAAGTTAACTTGAGCGCGACACATAGGAAACTGACTTCTCAAATAATATTATAGAGATCGGAAACGTTTCCGCGAGGACGGCGCCGTTTAACAATAGGCCCAATATAACTTAAGCCCAAACTCCACTTCTGTCCTAACATGCTTTTTGGGTTTCTTGCACTTTTGTACTTTTGGTCCTTAACATGTTTTTCTTTTAGGTTTAGGGTTTCTTAGTCGTTTCCTATATATACTCTCTAGTTCACATCGCCGAGATAAGACGCTAATCTTCTATAGTTCTATTCATCACTAATGAACTGTGTTCTCTCTCTTTTTTGTTTTCGTTCTTTTTACTTGTATAAACGTGTTTTGAAGAATATGATGAAAGTTGTATATCGGTGAACCATATGATCGATAAAAATTTCAACTCGCTACGTTCTTTCTGATTCTTACCAGCTTTATAATTTTTCCTTGAAAGTTCGTTTTCTTTTTTTGCTTTCCTGGTTCACCGTATTCATTCTCTTGAAAATTTCCGATGCTTTTGATATTTGAACATTGTATATACTGGAGAAGTGATGAGAAATCAGTTAATATCTTAGGACACCTTCTGACACATTATTGTGTATGAGAATGACATCTAATCTGATCTTCAGTTAATTTTTTCCTATCTTTGTCAAATCAAATCAAATTATTATTTTTCTATCAAATTGATTTTAAGTTTTTAACCTTGTAGGAGCTCGGTTTTCGTTATAGTACTAATAACTTAACCTTAATTGTCCAAGTTATTCTATAGGTTGCCAAAAGCCGCAGTGATTGTGTTTCTCTGGCTATTGTTGCAACTTCACCACTACTCCATAAGCAAAGCACATAATTTTACAATGATATCTTTATTGACTTCTTCTTATTCTTAAGCGGATCCTTCGCAAACTTATCATATATATGGAAAACCTGATAAGACAGGAAAGCATATGCGGCGGAGATTAAAAGATTTATCATTATCGAGTAGATAACTCCCGAAGTTATCCTGCAATTTTGCCAATAAAAATAGAGACATGCATTAATTCAAACCAAACTCTCTTTTAAACGTGTACTCCCTTTGTTTCAATTTATAAGTTTTGGTGATTTTTTGTTTGTTTCACAGTATCAGTTGTTTGCAATGTGTAATATAAAAATTATGTATAAAAGGTTAAAAGCAAATTTGAAATAGAAATTCATCACTGGCCATTATCTCTTTTTTTATTAAATGCAAAAAAACATAAAAATGTTTATTTAATAGTTTTTAAAACAATGCATTTAAACCACAAGGGAGTATATAACGACAAACTGATCTGCTAGACAATACAACTGTACTCACTTGATGATAAATCCATGTAAACTTTTCAACTTGTCTCTGTTTATGTGTACCGTCCAGCTACAACCAAAATATTAATTTTAGTACTAGTTTTTTTTTGTTTAAAACTTTTTAGTACTTTAATTGATCAATTCCTTGCTAGATGGAAGCAAATGTTACATGTTGAATCCTATTTACAAAAATCGAATTCTAATTTGGATCTTCGGTTTTTAAATGTTGAGATTTTTTAAAGGGTAAAAATTAAAAATTCTTCGTTTCCTCCTAAATTAACCCTGACATTTTCAGCCTCTAATAAACCCTAGTTTGTGAAATAATTATAGAGATTTACTAATCAAGGTTTTACGAAAAAGTGAATCCAAAACAAAGATAATTAAGAATGAATAATAAACCAGTGAATCAGGGTTAACGACTGCCATAGCGATAGAAGAGGTAGATAAAACCCGGTGATGAAAAATTAAAATAATATTGATCTTGTGATCGGTTGAAATTTATAACAAATAAAATAAATTTTGTAGTATATACATACATATGTAGAATGTAATCAACCAAAAAAAGGAAAACAAAATCTTCTAATATTAATATATAGAATGTAATCCAAAATTTTTTTTTATAAGACTTGACTAATTGTTATGAGTATGAGATATGAATGACCATTTAGAGATAAAATCAAAGGAAACAATAAATATTTAACCTCTTGTGTGATTGTTTGCGTTGGGATCCCTTATATATCAATTGATAAGCATTACAATATCTTCTGTTGAGACGCATGTTATCATTACAATAATTATTAGATTCTTTAGAAAAAAATTGGTCAATCTAAATATATATAATATTTGTTATTAAATTAATTATCAAATTAATTAGTATTGTACAAATGAATATTTTACATTATTTTTTAAAAATAAAATTTACGAAATCACATAATATGGTTATCATATGTATGACAGTTAATAATTTTGAATAATATATAAAATGTAAATAAAATATCACTGATAATATCATTGAAATATAATGTAAATTAAATAGATTTAAAAAATAAAATATCAACATAATCCTATACCCAATAATCTTATATTGACGTTCCATGACTATACGTTTGGAGACTTATGACATGATGATTGAAACAATTATTAGTATATATATAAATGATCATCTAGTTCCCTTTGATTTTGATGATTTTTTTTTTCTTATGGTTGGAGAGAACGACCTTAAACTATTCTTTAATTTTGCTTGGCAAGTTTAACATTGAGTATTGATTGATGTTGATTAGTATATGCACTTACAAACTTTTCGTTCATTATTGTGATTAAAAATCAACGGCTTGATCAGATCAAATAGTCTTTCTATGCTACCCCTCTAATTTTCTTGACAAACCTTAAAAACTTTAGAAAGTCCATTCACAATGATTATTAAATCTGTAATCTAATGAGTTTATGGTACATTTCACAGAAGTCTTGTAATCTAAAATGTGTTTGCATCAAGCCAAACCAACAAGCTTTTCGCTGACCTCCCAAAGTTTCTTAGCCTTCTCAGCATCACTTGCTTCTTTAGACAGCTGATTCTCAAACGAAGACGAGTTGTTGTTCCAGCTCCAGTATACCCCTGACTTCCCCAGACTCGGATCACTCACAACCTACACTCAATCACATTCCATACTATCAAATCAAGAATCTGTCTACATATATATTACGAAGACTGACCTGTGCTAATCTTTTCCCAGCTTCCTCTTCAGATACGTAACCTTTGGTGATATACTTCTGAAAAGGCGGAAACAGAAGCCTAAACAGAGGTACGTGCTCTCTAAACAACCCTGTTGTAGCGATGCAACCAGGGTAAAGAGAAGCAAACGTGACACCTGTTTCCTCGTGGTAACGCCTGTGAAGCTCCTGCATCGTCAGCATGTTACATACTTTGCTGTCTTTGTAAGCTTTGGCTCCATCATACTCTCCTCCATCTATCATCGAACTGTTTTGCCCGTTCAAACCCGACGCTAAGCCTCTTAGGTCTCCAAGGTTTGCCTTCGGCGGCACGTTCCCAGCCAAAGTGTTTGTGTTTCCTATTCAATGAACATAGAAAAAAGAACATTTATTGTCTGAAACTAGAAATCATTTCGTTGTGTCTATTCTTATTTACCTGTTATAGATCCTACGATGATCATACGTTTTGATGGATAATCTGATTTTTTCAGGTCATCAAGAAGCAACCTAGAGAGAAGAAAATGACCGAGATGGTTGGTTCCAACGCTTAGCTCAAACCCTTCAGCTGTAAAAGAAGGTTCTTTAGCTGTTGGTTGGTAAACAGCAGCATTGCAGACAAGAACATCTAACGGCCGTTCTGTTCTCCTGTAGTTATCAACGAACTGCTTCACGCTTTCTAAGGAAGCAAGATCAAGATGCATCACTGTGTAATCTTCCTTTGACATTCCTACGGATTTAGCTGCTTTCTCGGCCTTGAGAAAGTTTCTGCACGCCATGATCACATGCCATTTCCCTGTGTCTGCTAAAGCTTTGGCCGTAGCTAAACCTAAACCAGAGGAAGCTCCGGTGATCACTGCTGTGCCTTTTCTCTGAGTCTTCTTTTGCTCCGGCGAGGCTTCGTTCGCCGGCGGCGTTGCTGTAACGGTCTGTGCACGAATGGCAGTGGAAAACGGCGGAGTTTGTTTTCTTCTCTGTTCCTGAAACGGAGCAGAGTAAAACTCAGGACATTTTCAATAATATTACTCTGTTTTTTTTAGAGAAAAAAAATTGATTTTACCTTGATGGTTAACAGGGTTGAGATCTTGTCGGCTCTGAGGTTGTTTGAAAATGAAAAACTAGTTAGAGTTGTCTCCTTCAGAGAAGCACTGAATCTACCCTGCAAAATCAACCATGGCATTGAGGTGAAGTTCTTGAGACGACTCTTCGGTTTTATCGAAATAGTAATTGTGAAAACATGATACCTCTTTGTGGATTGAAGCAGTAGTAGAAGGAAGAAGCGAGTAGGCAGCCTGGAGAGCCATGTCTGTACGGAGCTGAAGGTGCTTGTAGAGCTCAGTATCTTCGACGTTGTTCGATTTGAGGAGATGAGACAAAAAGATAAGGTAGTATTTGCCTATTTGGTTGGTAGTGACACGTGTCTCTAAAAAGTTTTCTTCCGACCAATCAGATCACTAGTATGTATTCTTCTTCTGAGTGATAATCTATCCCTTGCATGTTGGGCCTGGGATGGGCTTCGATTAAATACTGTGATTAACTAACTGATCTGATCACCGTTGATAGCTCAAGTGTAAATGATCTTGGCGGTCTAAATGTATCTAACAATAATCCGGTGGAAGAGAGAAGAAGGCGGCAACTTAACGGTAAATGTGGAGATTGGAGAGATGAAACAAACAAACAAACAAAAAAAGAGAGAAAAAATTACATCTCTTGCAATTTGCTAATAGTTGCATAATTCCAATGAAAAATTTCATTTTTGCTTCTATTTTCTTTTTCTTTTTTATTTTGATCAAAACTTTCTCTTCTATTTTCTTCTTCTCTTTTCTCTTCCTCCTTCGTTTTCACCGTGTCTAGACCATCTCCTCCATTGTCTTCTTCTTATGTCTATAACAATTAAATTTTCCTCCTCTTCGACTTATTGATCAATCATATTAATTTATTCAAAGGATGGTTAACTTTTGATTTGGTTATCATTGTTTGCAAATGACGTTTTGCATTGTCAAGTTTCCAATCATTTCATAAAAAGGTAATGTAAAGAAAATCTCTTTGATTGCGCTATTGTGTTAGTTACACCTTCTGGAGACACCTAATTCTATATCCAACTATACCAAAATTTTGACTAAGTGATAATGTAAATGATGATGAAGTTGTTGATTATTTTGATAATAGAACATTAAGGAATAAATAATCTCTATTTTCTAGACAATTTTATTCGCTTGGCTTAAAAGAATCGTTAGTTAATCTTATTTTCTTTAAACATTTGTGTTCCTCTCATGACCTTCAGGAAGCAGAGGCAATATTTTCCTTCTTGTGTGTTGTGTCTTCACCAAGTATTCAACCCTTTGCTCAATATCATATTTTTAAGTTATTTTTTATTGCTAAATATCATATTGTTATTGCCAATCTTGCATTTACACTGTTCTTGTTTATTCCAATCGTTTCTTTACTCTTCATTTTACCTAAGCGAGTGTCACTTTGGTTGTTGCTTGTAAGTAATTAAGCTCAATCAAACGTTCTGATCGTTCCAAGTTTTTTTGCTAAATCATGTGTCTGAAAATGTGTGCAGATAGAGGAGGATGAAGCGTGGGAAAGGCGAGAAAAAAGGAACAAAGAGTCGAGATAGCAGTGGTCAAGTAGTTCCACTCACGTAATAGCTCAATTTAGCTAAGTATATATGTTTTAGTGAGTAATATATTGCTAGAAATCAGGGGATATTATGAAACACGTTTAATTAGCATAGATGTATAGTTATGTAATGATTAATTATACCTATCAGCTGATAGGTATATAAATGTTTCAGTGAGCCGGTGGTTATACCGACGGCTACGGTTGGAACAAGATCATGGATAGGAGGGCTCTTCACACGCTCCAGTAGACGTCAAGACAAGTCACTCGACTACACTTTGTCTCCTCTTCAGGTTAGCATAGTTACCAAGTTTCATATACCTCTCCATATATATAAGATTAAGACATCAAATATTTAGTAACATTTTTTTCGGTTTGTAATCAATAATAGGAGGAAAGACTTCAAAGGCTGCAAGATCGTTTGCTTGTACCTTTTGACGAGACAAGTCCTGACCATCAGGTGGGCGAATTGAGCTTATATTAATGATGTTTAACTGTAATTAAAGGAATACGTACTGATCATGCTATAAACATATTTTGTGATGCATTTTGACGTGATTAATGGCCGCAGGAATCACTTAAAGCACTGTGGAATGTTGCATTTCCGAATGTTAATCTCACAGGTTTAGTAACAGAACAATGGAAAGAAATGGGATGGCAAGGTCCCAATCCATCTACCGATTTCAGGTAAGATTGATGTGTGTATAAACACTATTGCAAAAACAAAAATGCATAAACATCTTAAGGGTTAACTAACATTTTGTTTGCAGGGGTTGTGGATTTATTGGTCTAGAGAATTTGCTATTTTCCGCAAGAGTTTATCCGGTAATTACTCATAAACATGTTCATATCTAGTTATGTCTTTCCCATTTTACTTCTTTGCTCCAACAAAACATGAATATGTATATGAAATGTGTGTTTTTTTAAATATAAATAAAAAAAAATGTGAAGGTTTGTTTCCGGAGACTATTATTGAAACAAAGAGGCGACAGAGCAAAATGGGAGTATCCTTTTGCGGTGGCCGGAATCAATATCTCATTCATGCTGATCCAAATGCTCGATTTACAAAACGCTCGTATGTTTCTTAATTAATCACCATTTTTTACATGTTACAAAAAAACTTAAGTAGTATTGTTTTGTTATAATTGCAGCGAAGCCAAAATGTCTTCCAGGAATGAATTTTCTCAAACTCTTAGAAGGTAAACAAAGTATATAATTAATGCAGATTAATTTCTAAAAAATAGTGTATGATAATCAATAACCATATTCACAAAAACAAGTATATATATATACAGAAGACGAGAATGCATTCGATGTACTATATTGTATAGCTTTCGCGATGATGGATGCTCAATGGCTTGCCATGCACGCTTCTTACATGGAATTCAATGTATGTCTTTCTCTAATTCTTGAAGATTGATACTTGTCTGTGTATATATATATATGTTAATGTGGTTCTGTTGTGTATTTATCAGGAAGTATTACAGGCGACTAGGAATCAGCTAGAGAGAGAGCTTTCTTTGGACGATATTCATCGGATTCAAGATCTTCCTGCTTACAATCTCTTGTTCCAATAGAAAATATTTTATGTAGCTTGATTTCAATCTTATGGTGTATATTAACTGAATTTCTGAACGAAAAGAAATGACAATCATTGAAGCAACAAAAAAGGGGTCGAAAATGATGATGATGATGGTGTGGAAGGACATTAAAGGGTGAACGTGGGATTTTATGACATATGAAAAGTCGGTCTGATTATGAAATATTGTAAATTCCTAAATGGTATAAAAATACGGTAACGTGCTTACGTTTGCTTTGAGATTCGGCAAATGCAAGTTTGAACTTATCCTCCATTCTGACAACAAATTAAGCACAAGGGATCACATTTGAAACCTAACGTGAAACCTGAAGGATAAGATTCCGTACCAGTTCCAGTTACCACCACATTTCCACGATTCCTATAAACAACTTACTTTGTTTCAACAATGCAACAAACTCAATATAACAAATATATTTGTCAAAGGTTAGGACTTAAGTAAACGCTATTCTAAACGAAAACGTTGCTAAAGCCTTGCGTCTGAAGAAACAAAGCAAGGATGATATGGAATGGGGATATTAGCCACGATAAGTCATAGACATACTACAGAAGTAGTTGAAGTCATGATGTTGAACCCGAAGCTGTTTTAGCCAAGAATCTGCAACGCTATGAAGCGAAACCAATCTCTCTTGGTCATCGTGGTCATGAGAAAGCCAAACATTGCCTTGCATCTTGTAAGTAGCCATCCCAAATGAGGGCAGAGTTATGTCTTCTCCTTCCTTTCGCATCAATCTCTCTTTGTCACCTCCATTATCATCTGGCTCCATATCTGCAACATAACAAGGCATTAAGCCCAAGTGTGATTTCACCGAGTTAACTAGAGGGAGAGAGAATGTGCAGACCTTGGAAAGAAGAGGAAAGAGTGTGGTAAGTGAGGAAAGAAGTGGACAAGTCTTTGATGGTTCTTCCCATTGGTATATGATAAATAGGGTACCATGCAACAGACATCCAGCTCGCTGGAGACAGATCAATGCTTCTCAACGACATCAATCCTGGATATCTTTGAGCTAACTCATTGATCTGGAATCAAAATTATCTTTCTAAGTGTCAGATCTACTTACATCATGGGAAAGAAAGGATGATTTGATTAACCTTGTCCATGAGAGGAACTCTGGTATAAGGAGCTGATCTGTCAAAGTATTGGAGGTAAAGGTAACCCAAACGATCATTCAGGTTAAGGTTATCAAGTCCTTCCTCAGAGACACTCTCATCGCTACTTGACTCGCTAAAGGGATACCTACCATTACCATCGGATTCCCCATCCTCAGACTCTTCCCTGATTGACAACCAACAACACAGACACATGAGATGAGAACAAGCATTCTTCTAAGAACTCAAACTATATGCATAAAGAGAAACCACAACCTATTCAAACTTCATTTTCTTGATCAACCAAATTCAGCATAATCAGAAAGCAAGAAAGAAGTCTGAGATTAGGAATCAAACCTTAGACGGATCAAGGAGGAAGGAGAGGTGAAAATCTGGATGGCAGAGAGATAAGGAACATAGTATTGCACGAGAGATTCACCACTGTTGGATAGATGAATAGGAACACTAGCTCCATAAGCGCTCCATTCATGGTAGCAATCCCACAAATCACTCAACCTGAAAAACTCAACCTTTTCTCTCTCCCACGGATGCCACAATCCATTTAGGCTTCTTCTAATCTCCCCCTGCGATAATAAACCCCCCATCAATGACAAATACTCACCAAAGATTAACGGAAAGCTCAAAAAAAAAAAACCTTGGGGAGAGATTGGGGTGGGACTAAGGGTGTTGTGCAATGAAGAAATCGATCAAGGTTCGATTTTTCCATTGAGCCTTTAACATTCACCATGATGATCCTCCTCGAAAGAAAGAGAGAGAGAGAGTATTCTGAGCTTTGACGTTATGAAGGCTGTATGTAAGGAACAAGCAAACACACAAAAAAAAGAGTTGATTCTCTTTTAAAGAAATGTGTGTCTGGAGAAGAACGATCACAATCGAGGAGGCTACAATGTGTAAGCAACAATATCGAATATGGTTTCTTTATTTTCTTTCTTTGCTGTGATTCTCTGTGAAAATTTTTGAAGCCACGCGTCCAGATCTCGAAAAAATAAAAGTTACACGGAGAAGGTGAAAAGTTAAAAGGCATAAAATGAGGAACAGGTAGAAATTTTCTGAACTTTGGTTGAATGAAGAAGAGAAGAGAGATTTTTTCGGAAAAGTCAAAAGTTTCTCTCGGAAAAGCTCGTCAAATGTTCTTCTTTCATGTTTCAAAATAAATAAATGGGTTTTAAATACGTATAAAAATGGAATACTTTAAGATATGAATAGTAGTTAATAATATAAAAGTATTTTACGAAAACAAACTAGCAAATTCCAAGTTTCTCTGTATATAATTCGATCGACATTTCCGTGTAAATGAAGTTACATCAACAAGAAACTGTAAAAGAAGACGAAATTGTAAAAAGAATTCTATCTTCCTCTAGAGAGAGCTTTCTCAGCAGTCTCCATCTCTTCAAGAATCCTCGCCTTCCTCTTCGCCGGTATCGGAGCCGTCGGTCCAAAGCTCACATAATGTCCCGACACTGCATTCAACGCCGCGTACATATCCCTGAACGACGCTTTCCCCAGTAGCGCTTTCTCTTTCCTGTACTTTGCCACCCACGAGTTCGACGCCTCTCTCAGCTCCGCCACCGTATCCGCCACGTTCGGATCCGTCCTCTCCATCGACAGCGTCGTCCGAACTTTCGAGATCACTGCCGACGTGTCTTTCACGTACTCTTCGTCTTCTTCTGCGGCAGAAGCCGGCGACGGAGCTAGAAACTGCGTTAGAATAAGCGTTGATGCGGCGGTTAAGGAGAGGAAATCGCGGCGGAGGAGGAGGGTGTGGCGAAGTGGAGGAGATAAGGAGGCGGTGATGATGATGGTCGGTTTATGCGGCGGAGGAGGGTTTGGTTTGAGAAGAGTAGATGTCGCTGAAGCTGAAGCCATTGTCGGGAATGATGTAATAGAGATTGAAGTTGTGTTTTGTAGTAACTCAGAAAGAAAGAAATAAAGAAAATGTTTTTTAGGGTGGTGTTGGATATTTGACGCGTGTCCCTTATCTTCTTCTTCTTCTTATCCAGATTGTAAGGTTTTTGGAGAGGAGACATGGAAGATCTGAGTCCAACAGTGGAGTTGGAGTCGTCTCTCTGTCTGATGTGATGCTTCTGTGGGTCCCATACTTCCATGTCAAAGTTTCGCCTTTTTTGACGTTTGGGCTTTGTTTGTTAACATCGGCCCATACGTTTAACTTAGATTATTTAAGCCGATACGCTTACATTAGTTTAATTGAAGCCAATAATTTTACATTTGATTTGATAACTAAACCCCCATATGTTTGAACTAGATAATTTTTGATTAAAAGAAATGTTATTAAGCTACAATAAAAAAAACACTAAATGAATCGTGTGAAATTTAGAAAGTTAATCAACGAGCATGTTTTGATAAAATAAAATAAAATCAACGAGCATGCAAAGCTTTGATTTGATGTTTCTCAGTTAAATCTTTGTTGATGAAAATTACCCAATCACATTCTAAATTTGTAATAATGTATGTTAAAATTATTTTCATAGTACATGGACATCATTTCAAATTATCCAACATGTAATTTATTTAAATTTCATTTGTAATAATGTATGTTAAACTCGATTTTCTGTAGGGGAAATAGGTCGTCTTCCCATTTATTGTTGATGAAAATTACCGAATCACATTCTAAATTTGTATTAATGTATGCTAACATTATTTTTATGGTACATGGACATCATTTAAAATTTTCCAACAGGTAATATATTTAAATTTCATATACCACTTAATCAGTGGAAAATCTCCCTATCAAGAAAATTCTATTTTCTGGAGAAAAAAGAACTCATAAGGTCTCAAACCTCTTAAACCTTCATACTATTTTAGTTAATGATGCAAATATGCATTAAAACAAAATTTTCATATTTTTTAATTTTTCTCGAAATATGTGGGTTAATCCCTACAGAAAATTGAGGTTTTCGATAAATGCTATATTAAGAAGTTTATGCTCTTTATTGTTGATGAAAATGACACAATCACATTTTTAATTTGTAATAATGTATGTTAAAATTATTTTTATGGTACATGGACATCATTTCAAATTTTCCAACATGTAATTTATTTAAGTTTCATATACCACTTAATCAGTGGAAAAATCCACTATAAAAAAAATTCTATTTTCTGGAGAAATATGAATACCTAAGGTCTCAAACCTCTTAAAACTTCATACTATTTCAGTTAATGATGCAAATATGCATTAAAAAAAAATTCATATTTTCTATTTTTTCTCGAAATATATGGGTTAACCCTTACAGAAATCGAGTTTTTCGATAAATGCTATATTAAAAAGTTTGGGCTCTTTATTGTTGATGAAAATTACTCATTCACATTTTAAATTTGTATTAATGTATGTTAAAATTATTTTCATAGTACATGGACATCATTTCAATTTTTCCAACACGTAATTTATTTAAATTTCATATACCACTTAATCAGTGGATAAACCTCATATAAAGAAATTTCTATTTTCTGGAGAAACATAAACACCTAAGCTCTCAAAACTCTTAAACCTTCATACTATGTCAGTTAATGATGCAAATATGCATTAAAACAAAAATTTTATATTTTTAATTTTTTCTCGAAATATGTGGGTTAACCCCTACAGAAAATTGAGTTTTTTCGATAAATGTTATATTAAGAAGTTTAGACTCTTTATTGTTGATGAAAATTACCCAATCACATTCTAAATTTGAATTAATGTATGTTAAAATTATTTTCATGGTACATGGACATCATTTCAAATTTTCCAACATGTAATATATTTAAATTTCATATACCACTTAATAAGTAGAAAAACCCCCTATAAAAATTCTATTTTCTGGAGAAACAGGAACACCTAAGCTCTCAAACCTCTTAAACCTTCATACTATTTGAGTTAATGATGCAAATATGCAATAAAATAAAATTTTCATATTTTCTAATTTTTCTCGAAATATGTGGGTTAACCCCTACAAAAAATCGAGTTTTTCGAAAAATGCTATATTAAGAAGTTTAGGCTCATTATTGTTGATTAAAAATTACCCAATCACAATCTAAATTTGTATTAATGTATGTTAAAAATTATTTTCATGGTACATGGATATCATTTCAAATTTTCCAACATGTAATTTATTTAAATTTCATATACCACTTAATCAGTGGACAAACATGAACTCTATTTTCTGGAGAAACATGAACTCTTAAGGTCTCAAACCTCTTAAACCTTCATACTATGTCAGTTAATGATGCAAATATGCATTAAAACAATTTTTTTTATATTTTTATCGAAATATGTGGGTTAACCCCTATAGAAAATCAAGTTTTTCGATAAATGCTATATTAAGAAGTTTAGGCTCTTTATTGTTGATGAAAATTACCCAATCTAATTCTAAATTTGTAGTAATGTATGTTATAATTATTTTCATGGTACATGGACATGATTTCAAATTTTTCAACAGGTAATATATTTAAATTTCATATACCACTTAATCAGTGGAAAAAACCCCTATAAAAAGAAATTCTATTTTCTGGAGAAACATAAACACCTAAGCTCTCAAACCTCTTAAACCTTCATACTATTTCAGTTAATGATGCAAATATGCATTAAACAAAATTTTAATATTTTCTAAATTTTCTCGAAATATGTGGTTAACCCCTACAGAAAATTGAGTTTTTTCGATAAATGCTATATTAAGAAGTTTAGGCTCTTTATTGTTGATGAAAATTACCCAATAACATTCTAAATTAGTATTAATGTATTTTAACATTACTTTCATGGTACATGGACATCATTTAAAATTTTCCAACAAGTAATTTATTTAAATTTCATATACCACTTAATCAGTGGAAAATCCCCTATAAAAAAAATTATATTCTGGAGAAACATGAACACCTAAGGTCTCAAACCTCTCAAACCTTCATAATATTTAAGTTGATGATGCAAATATGCATTAAAAAAATCTCATATTTTATAATTTTTCTCGAAATATGTGGGTTATCACCTACAGAAAATCGAGTTTTTTGATAAATGCTATATTAAGAAGTAGAGCCTCTATGTGATGAAAATTACCCAATCACATTCTAAATATTTATTAATGTATGATATTCTTATTTAACTGGTACATGGACATCATTTCTAATTTTCTAACATATAATTTATATAAATTTTATATACAATTTACTTAGTGGAAAAACACCCTATAAAAAATTTATACTTTCTGGAGAAACATGAACACTAAGGTCTCAAACCTCTTAAACCTTCATACTATTTCAGTTAATGATGAAAATATGCATTAAAACAAAATTTTCATATTTTCTATTTTTTCTCGAAATCTGTTGGTAACCACTACAGAAAATTGATTTTTTTCGATAAATGCTATATTAAGAAGTTTAGGCTCTTTATTGTTGATGAAAATTACCCAATCACATTGTAAATTTGTACTAATGTATTTTAACATTATTTTCATGGTACTGGACATCATTTAAAAATTTCCAACATGTAATTTATTTAAATTTCATATACCACTTAATCTGTGAAAACTCCCCCCATAAAACAAATTCTATTTTCTGGAGAAACATGAACACCTAAGGTCTCAAACCTCTTAAACCTTCATAATATTTCAGTAGATGATGCAAATATGCATTAAAACAAAATTTTCATATTTTCTAATTTTTCTCGATATATGTGGGTTATCCCCTTCAAAAAATCGAGTTTTTTGATAAATGCTTTATTAAGAAGTAGAACCTCTATGTGATGAAAATTACCCAATCACATTCTAAATATTTATTAATGTATGTTAAAATTATTTTAATAGTACATGGACATCATTTCAAAATTTCCAACAGATAATATATTTAAATTTCATATACCACACAATTAGTGGAAAAACCCCCTATAAAACAAATTCTGCTTTCTGGAGAAACATGAAGACCTAAGGTCTCAAAACTCTTAAACATTCATACTATTTCATTTAATGATTCAAATATGCACTAAAACAAAAATTTCATATTTTGTTTTTCTCGAAATATGTGGGTTAATCCCTACAGTAAACCGAGTTTCTCGATAAATGCTATATTAAAAAGTTTGGGCTCTTTATTGTTGATGAAAATTACCCAATCATATTTTAAATTAGTATTAATGTACGTTAAAATTATTTTTATGGTATATGAACATCATTTCAATTTTTCCAACACGTAAAATATTTAAATTTCATATACCACTTAATCTGTTGAAAATCCCCCTATAAAAAAATTCTATTTTCTTGAGAAACATGAACACCTATGGTCTCAAACCTCTCAAACCTTCATAATGTTTCAGTAGATGATGCAAATATGCATTAAAACAATATTTTCATATATTCTAATTTTTCTCGAAATGTGTGGGTTAACCCCTATAGAAAATTGAGTTTTTCGATAAATGTTATATTAAGAAGTTTAGGTTCTTTATTGTTGATAAAAATTATCCAATAACATTCTAAATTTGTATTAATGTATGTTAAAATTACTTTCATGGTACATGAATATCATTTAAAATTTTCGAAAAGGTAATTTATTTAAATTTCATATACCACTTAATTATTGGACAAGCCCCCTATAAAGAACATTCTATTTCCTGGAGAAAAAAGAACTCCTAAGGCCTCAAACCTCTTAAACCTTCATACTATTTTAGTTAATGATGCAAATATGCATTAAATTTTTTTTTTTCATATTTTTTAATTTTCTCGAAATATGTGGGTTAACCCCTACAGAAAATTGAGGTTTTCGATAAATGCTATATTAAGATGTTTAGGCTCATTATTTTTGAAGAAAATTACTCGATCACATTCTAAAATTGTATTAATGTATGTTAAAATTATTTTCATGGTACATGTACATCATTTTAAATTTTCTAAAAGGTAATATATTAAAATTTCATTTACCACTTAATCAGTGGAAAAACCCCATATAAAAAATATTCTATTTTCTGAAGAAACATGAACACCTAAGGTCTCAAACCTCTTAAAACTTCATACTATTTCAGTTGATGATGCAAATATGCATTAAAA